AGTTGCTGAACCAAAAAGTTTGACATCGCGGCAGGCGTACCACAAGGAACCATTCTCGGACCCAGTCTTAACCTCGTATATACTGCAGAAATACCGACTATCCAGTTTCACATCTCGGAGTATAGGCGTCTTACTTGGAGGAAGCACATTTAAGCAAATCGCAAACAAATAAAACACAAGTCCCGGCAGCTGCATGAGCTAATTAATAACCTAGGGTATCTGCGTAGCGGTTAAATAACGCAGAGGGTATGTTTGTCTATTAAGAGTAAACATTAGGTGTTTACACGTTTTAGCTCGTTTAGTTTAATACGCCAGTCAGATAGCAACCTCTCCACTAAAGCAAGATAATCAGCAATTTGTCGAATGATTTAGACAAAAAAGACAGTAGGCTTATTGGTCTGTACCATAACAGAATTGTCTGGTCTTTTCCGGGCCTCTGTATCATTATGATAATAGATTTTTTTCATTCACTTCTTTTGGTAGTAGCCGAGATCATTGATCCCATTGAAGAGTTTGCAAACGACCTCCATGTCATAGTTTGGGAGTGTGATTAGCATTTTTGAGGTTTTAGTTCCCTAATGATTAATTGATTTCAGTGCATTGGTGGCAAGACAAATAAATTTGAGGCAGGATTTGGCTGGAAATAACTTTGAAGATGTGAAGCAAATATTTCAGCTCTGTCTCCGTCGCTTCGGGCCCAGCATCCTGAATAGTTTTTTTTTGGGGGTAATCGTTTCGCTCGAAGCGCTTAAATTTGGGTGAGCCCTTCATAGGGAATTCTTTATACTGGTTGGCGACAGTTTTTCGATGTGCAGCTGTGCGTTTTCTGTCTGTTGCTGGAGAGCAAGGGCGAAAGAGCGGGTTGCTTCCTTGGGGCGTTGTTCTAAAGATCGCGATCTGTTGGTCTGCCAAGCACGTCGCAAAACGCTTTTTTTCCGCATCAGCTGTTCGATTTTATAGTATTTGTTTGCTTGTACTTCGTTCCCTTGTGGTGTGGAGATTTTGGCTGCTGCAACGAGTACATCTTCCAAAGCTCCAATAGTGCAGTTGATGTCCTATTCCATTCCAAGTTGAGGGGCGAGTTTTATAGAAACTTACATACATTTTGTATTTAAGCCAGTTAGTTCTGTGTTTTTTTACTCCCGAGATGAAATCTGATGATGTTATTTGTATAAGAAATATACTTACCAAAAAAAAGTTAGACCGCAAAAAAACGAGCACAATGTGATTGATTTGTGTCTTTTAAGTGTTAAGAGTGTTCATCGTGAGGCACAAAAGTTGCTTAACCAAAAAGTTTGACATCGCGACAGGCGTACCACAAGGAACCATTCTCGGACCCAGTCTTAACCTCGTATATACGGCAGAAATACCGACTATCCAGTTTCACATCTCGGAGTATAGGCGTCTTACTTGGAGGAAGCACATTTAAACAAATCGCAAACAAATAAAACACAAGTCCCGGCAATTGCATGAACTAATTAATAACCTAGGGTATCTGCGTAGCGGTTAAAGAACGCAGAGGGTATGTTTGTCTATTAAGAGTAAACATTAGGTGTTTACACGTTTTAGCTCGTTTAGTTTAATACGCCAGTCAGATAGCAACCTCTCCACTAAAGCAAGATAATCAGCAATTTGTCGAATGATTTAGACAAACAAGACAGTAGGCTTATTGGTCTGTACCATGACGGAATTGTGTGGTCTTTTCCGTGCCTCGGTATCATTATGATAATAGTATCTTTGGGTACTAGCCGAGATCATTGATCCCATTAAAGATTTTGCAAACGACCTCCATGTCATAGCTTGGAAGTTTGATTAGCATTTTTGGGGTTAGTAAGTGATCACCTGGAGTCTTTTTCGGTTTTAGTTCCCTACTGATTAATTGATTTCAGTGCATTGGTGGCAAGACAAATAAATTTGAAGATGTGAAGCAAATATTTCAGCTCTGTCTCCGTCGTTTCGGGCCCAGAATCCTGAATAGATTTTTTTTTGGGGTAATCGTTTTGCTCGAAGCGCTTAAATTTGGGTGAGCCCTTCATAGGGGATTCTTTATACTGGTTTGCGAAAGTTTTTCGTTGTGCAGCTGTGCGTTTTCTGCCTGCTGCTGGAGAGCAAGTGCGAAAGAGCGGGTTGCTTCCTTGGGGCGTTGTTCTAAAGATCGCGATCTGTTGGTCTGCCAAGCACGTCGCAAAACGCTTTTTTTTCCGCATCAGCTGTTCGATTTGCTGATTGGACTTATAGTATTTGTTTGCTTGTACTTCGTTCCCTTGTGGTGTGGAGATATTGGCTGCTGCAACGAGTACATCTTCCAAAGCTCCAATAGTGCAGTTGATGTCCTATTCCATTCCAAGTTGAGGGGCGAGTTTTATAGAAACTTACATTCATTTTGTATTTAAGCCAGTTAGTTCTGTGTGACGTCAGCCTGAGAGGGTGTTCGATTATGTCAGGGCTTTGAAGAAGTGTTCTTAGCAAAGGAGAGTGGTCTGAAGATAGTTTAGAAAGCGGCACTTATAAGATTTTGAGATATGTTTTTTGGGTCTGCTGGCTTCCAAGGTAAACATAGTCCAATTTGTTTTTAAAATGTATAATTGCATTGCACAATTGCCTTCCTTTGTCACAAGACGCATTGTAGTCTCCTGCGGCTATAAAACGATCCCCAAGTTAGTTGTAGAAATCCATGAATTGTCCTTGCGAGATTGTAAAGCGAGGCGGGCAGTACACGGCAGCAAATGAAAGGTTTCCGTTACTTCAATTAATTTTTATAGATGTGGCCTGCAAACATTTGGTGAAGGTGGTGCTTGGTGCGTTAATTGCGTCTGGTTAAGACTCCGGTTCCGCCGTGGGCTTTCCCATCCGGATGATCTGTGCGGAAAAATGTATAACCCCTTATTTGAAAGTTTTATTTGCTTGTGAGGTGCGCTTCTACCAGCAATTGTGTTAATTCAAGTTTCTGCCGTTAGACACCATTGGCATTCCACATTAATATTATTAGATAATGCATCGATTATTTAGACTGTTGTGCTGCGAGCAACTTTACCACCATGTTCTGATTTTAAAAACAAGTGTTTGCATAGTCGTTTTCATAAATGACATTAGTTTCATCATGCTTTGTTTCAGGGTAAACATCATAGTTTCCATTTTGTTATTTGGGTATCCTGGGGCCTGCCGAAAGCTTTCTATCGCTTGTCGCATGCTACTCTTCAGCTCCCTGTAGACCGCACAACCGCTTTAATTTGCCGTTTGATTTCCTCCGCAGTTCCCAAAATTTTTTCAAACTTGGGTCTTCTTTGTTGGCAGAACAGTGTAGAGTATTGTCGGCGTCCCCGCAGGCTTCGCAGACGACCCGAAGTGTGCAGTAGTGCATTTCACTGAACCATTACATTTATGCGGTTCTCCACAGTTATTCTATTGGTGCAATAGATATTGAAGCTTGTACATGGCGGTAAAACCGTTTTTTTTAGGGCATTTGTTTCGGTGCTGGTAATGTCAGGTTCGATTTCTGTTATTACCACTTCTATTTCGAGAGAAATAGATTATCGCGAATATACAAGGAGGAAAAGCTGACTAAACGCAAGAGCTGACAAAAACCCAACAGGCAGTCCTTGAGCAGCGGCCGATTGGCACTAACCAAGTCAAGAAAGCACTGTGCGTCCGGTGACCGTTTGGCGCCGCAAAAAGATAGCAGCAGAGACCAGGATGAGAATCAGCCATGTAAAATTACCGCCCCTTGGAATATTAAAAAGATTTGTCGGAGTGAAATTCCCGTTGCCTAAACCCGTGATTAAATAAAATTTTAGAATTTATCTCTGATGCTTACTTCCTCGTTTGTGGTACAGTGAATATCTCCAAGCTTTTGGGTTCGGAAATATACTAAGGTGTAGTAAACCAATTCACTGAAGGGTTTTATGGGGTTAGTGATCAATTTAGTAGCAAAAAACTGCTGATTGAGTAACTTATACCCCTGTCCATTAAATTCTGTGTCAGAGACGGATTTTGCACAAAATCCAAATTAACATTTTTATAATAGGTCAGTACCGGCAGCATACTTTTGAGCCAAGGGTCCCTAATGAATCAGGCTAAGTTTCTAATGGAGGTAAATAATAATAATAATTAATAACCGAGGAAAAAAAGGTCCTACGCAAGACGAAGTTTATATACCCTTGCATTTATTACAAATCGACTACGTTTAAATTTCTATGCCTATATTAATAAAATCAATGAAGCTATGTCGGGTTTGCGCTGCATAATATCAAAGACATATTTTGATAAATAGAAAAACACCAAAATACAATTTTCTCCATTTTTATTCTTTTTAATTTTTTTTTATTTTCCTATTGGAGCCATATGATATAGATGTCCGATTTAAATTTAATTAAAGCCGTAATTCCATAATATTTAAATACTACCAAATCTGAAATAACATCACAAAAAAATTAAAAACAACAAAGCTATAATATACAAAAAAAATATTCCGATTGTTCCTATGATATAAACGCCCGATCCGGCTCGTTCCAACTTATATACTACCTGTAATAGAAAGACAACTTTTGGGAAAGTTTCAAGCAGATAACTTTAAAACTGAGGGACTACTTTGCGTAGAAACGGACGGACGGACAGACGGACATGGCTAAATCGACTCTCCTGGTGATGCTGATCAGGAATATATATACTTTATAGGATCGGTAATGTCTCCTTCACTGCGTTGAAAACTCTCACTGAAATTATATTGCCCTCTGCAAGGGTATACAATTAATAAAAAACCGGTACATTTTTCAGAAAGCTACCTAAATATGTCAGTTTTTACATATGTGTATTTATATATACGCCTTTTTGCAAGAAACACTTTTTTAATTTAAAAACAAATCTTTAAACTCTGGGGATTAAATAAAAATGTTACTATTTGAACTGAATTCATAGTCGGAGAACTCTAGTATAGCCATAATTATAGATTTTATTCTAATTTCATTCAACTAATTATTAAAATAACTTTTATATTTTTTCAGTATGCTCATAAATTGGCTTATTTGATTGGACAAAGTATTCAACGAGATGTGGCAGAAACGCTTTTGGAAAAACTTTTCTACCTTTAAACTTTTAAAAGATTTATGTTCATGATATCAACTTGGAGCGAAATTAAAATTTATATAGCATATTTTTATGTCGCGTTACTATATTTTGTAGATGGGAATGTTGGAGGTAACAAAAATGACAGAATAAAAAATAACAATTGTTGGCCGCTTTCTCGGCCATGTAAAATTATGGCCCTTCGGAATGTTTAAATGATTATACGTCTTTGACTTTCAAAGTGAACGGTCGTGTTTTTTTTCTGCGCTTCGAATTTTGCATTTTGTTTTCGTTTATTCCCATCGGTGGGTTTTCTCAAAAAAATTCTAATTCGCTTCCGGTTTATTTAAACATAAATTTAAACTCCGTTCGCTTCGCGAGTGCACTTTGTATTTAATACTAATTAATTGTTTTAGTTTTTCGTAATTCTTATCTGTGTTTTCTTTTTTATATCCCCGCCGTTTCTCTTTTGTGCATGCACTTTAACTTATTTACGCTCCCGCTCTCTTGCTCTCTTTGCTTTTGAAAGTTCTAAGCTTGCAGTTTCTGCGCTCTTGCGGTTCTTATAACTGCTCGCTTATAAATTTCAATTTCGCTTTCTTGGTACAGTGGTAAATAAATAAAATGAATAATAAAAATTTAGTCTGCTTCTGCAAAAAATGCAGCCTCGTAATCAGGGCTGACCAGTCTAATATGACTTGCTGGCTGTGTGAAAATATGGTGCACACCAAGTGCGCCGGTTTTACTGGCCGGACAAGTGATGACCTTTCAAAGGGGCCCAATTTGCAGTTTTGTTGTGACGCTTGTGTCGAGGTTGCGAACGAGATGAAATCGTTCATGCGCCAAACTAAAGGCGGCCTGATGGGACTGATTAGCTGTTTCGGAGTGGCTAGAGATAGTTTTCGCCGAGCTGATGATCTCCTATCTACGCTGGACTCGCAGTTTAATAGTCGTAAGCTATTAGAAGAGTCCCCTAAGCGCAAAAAGGCCGCTGGTGGTAAGGAGCAAAAGGGGAACACCCCGCAAACCGAAATCAAAATAACAACAGAGCATTCCGGCGGATCAGCAGCTGATTTCAGCAAACCCTCAAATGTTGCTAAGATCAGCAGCTAAAAAAGATCCGTTACAGAATGCATGCAACCAGGGACTTCTAAGAATTCCGATTTGTCCGGAGTGGTTTCACAATTAGGGGATCCACCTATCTCTCAGAATGTAGCATCACCACCACAAGGGACTACTGAGTCTGGACAACCGGCTCAAGTTGGTTTTGCAGAATCAATGTCTGCTCCACCAAAATCCCTTACAGTGGTTCCACTAAAGAAACTAATTGTCGTTTCTCGGCTTTCCCCTGATCAAACATCTTCTGATGTATTGTCTTATATACAAGACAAAACTAAAGCCGATTGTAATAGTGTAAAGGTGGAAAAGTTTAAGTTTTCTTATGCTAGAGACATTTCATCTTTCAAGATAACTGTCCCTAACGAGCTTTTTGAAGCCATATGCTCGGGCGACTTTTGGCCGGATAATATGGTTGTAAAAGAGTTCGAGGCTAAGATAAAGAAGAAGGGGCCCGTGGGAGTAAAACTTCCAAGTCGAGGCCAAACCAGTGTACCGATTTCAAAAAACTAACTTCTAACCTCCTTCTTTCCTATCAGAATGCAAGAGGTTTGCGTAGCAAACTCACTAAATTGTATTCTGATAGCCTTTCCTTTGCATCTCATATTATTGTGTTCACAGAAAAGTTTTTCCAGGTAAGTACACAATATATAGGTATGACCGTCCCTCTAGACGGGGAGGTGGAGTCTTAATTGGAGTTGATTCAAACTTCCCGTCTGAGGAGTTATTTTTTGATGAATTCAATACCATTGAATTTATTTGTGTAAAGTATTCGCTTCCTGGTAACTTTATATACATAACTTGCTCATATATTTCGCCGTTGTCTGAACTTCCTGATTATTTAAATCACCTATCCGTTATTAAGTCCGTTGCAAATAAGCTTTCCGATAGGGATCAGTTGATAGTTCTAGGTGATTTTAATATACCTGGAGTTACTTGGTCCACTGAGGATGGATCGAATGTCTTACTACCTATAGCACAGCATGATTTTATTGATGGCCTGCTTGACATATCTCTATCTCAAGTAAACCATGTTTGAAATTCATTAGGTCGCCTACTTGATTTGTGTTTTGTATCAAATCCTGAAGGTGTGTTTCTGTCCAGAGTAGCACCACTCACGCAACGGGTAGAGTTATAGAAGAAAAATCAGAAAAATCCAAACGAATGCATTGTTTTCGCAAGGCAGACTTTCCGAGGATAAATAATTTTATTTCTGGCTTTAATTTTTCTGATCTTTACTTATGCAATAATATGTCCGATGCAGTTAATGTTTTTTACACTGCAATAAACTCATTTTTTAATTCCTGTGTTCCGTGGTACTATCCGTCAACTTCCAATAAATCACCTTGGTTTAGCAAAGAGTTGACACACTTAAGAAATGTAAAGTCCGGACTTTTTAGGAAATATAAAAATACCGGTTCTCAATCTGTTTTTACTAGATATTTAAGTGCTCGGTCAAGATTTACAGTGCTTAATGCTCAGTGTTGTAATAGTTACTTAAACCGTTGTAAGGTCCAGTTCTCTCAGGACCCGAAACAGTTTTATAATTTTGTTAACACCAAGCGTAAATCTAATTCTTTTCCTTCCTCGCTGTCGTTCGAAAACATGACGGCAACCACAGATCAGGCAATAGCCGATTTATTTGCCCAATTTTTTCAAACGACTTACTCTACTTTAGATTATTCATCACAGCCTTACTCTTACACCATGTCCAAGTCAAACCTCATATTCTGTCCCACTTTAACAGAAAGCTCTCTTCTTTTATATCTTCTTCGTATTAAGCCTGTTTATTCGCCAGGGCCCGATGGTATCCCTGGGTGCGTGCTTAGGTATTACGCTAAGGCCCTGTGCAAACCTCTTCACAAGTTATTTACCCTATCTCTAGAAACGTCCCAATTCCAAAATATTTGGAAGGAAGCATTTGTTATTCCTCTTTTCAAAAAAGGTAACAAGTTAGAAGCCAGTAACTACAGAGGTATTTCTAAGTTGTCAGCTATTCCTAAGCTTTTTGAAAAAATTATTACTCCTCATTTGCAGCACCTTTGTAGATCAATCATTTCTCCGTGTCAACACGGATTTATTAAACGTAGATCCACAATCACAATCCTTCTAGAGCTCACTTCATTTGTGATAAAAGGCTTCAATAGTAGTTTTCAAACAGACGTCATTTACACTGACTTTAGTAAAGCATTTGACTCTGTAAATCACTTACTTCTCATTCAAAAACTTGACCTTTTAGGTTTTCCAGTTGATCTGCTAAATGGATTTCAAGTTATATAATTGGCAGGTCACAAAGGGTCCTTTTTAAAAATTCAATTTCTAAAATTCTCCGTGTTACCTCCGGTGTCCCACAAGGGAGCCATCTGGGTCCGTTACTTTTTACATTATTTATTAACGATCTTCCCTCAATTATAGGTCATTCTCGCGTACTTATGTACGCAGATGATGTTAAGTTGTGCCTGCAGTATAAGGACATTTCCTGCCATTTAGACTTGCAATCCGATCTAGATAATTTTCAAAACTGGTGCCGAGATAATTTACTAAATTTAAACGGCTCCAAGTGCAAGCTGATGACTTTTTATCGGGCCAATCCGATATACGCGACTTACACGTTAAGTGGCAGCTCTTTGGATAGAATAACTCTTGTAAACGATCTTGGCGTTCTCTTGGACCCTAAACTAAAATTTTCTAATCACATTTCGTCCATGGTTAATAAAGCCAGAGGAGTGCTTGGATTTATTAAAAGGTGGTCAAAAGAATTCGATGATCCTTATTTGACTAAAACTTTATTTATTTCGCTAGTCCGTCCGATTCTGGAGTATGGGTCTCCCGTCTGGAGTCCACAATACGGAATACATATTGGTCGTATTGAATCTGCACAAAAAACTTCCTTCTTTTTGCTTTACGGCGCCTAAACTGGGATGCAAACCTTATCTTACCTTCTTATTCAAGTAGACTTCTGTTGATTGACCCTCCCCAGCCAACCGTAGAACGATACTTGGTACTGTCTTTATTTATAACCTTATACATGGTGATATTGACTCCCCCGACTTGGTAAGTATGCTAAACTTTTCTGCGCCAAGTAGATTAACTAGAAATTATATTCCTCTAATATTAAATTATTGTAGATCTAACTATGCCTTGCATGAGCCTTTCAGAGTATTATGTTCTGACTATAATAGTTTTTTTCCTATAATCTCAAATCTTGACTCTCTGCCGCTCTTAAAACGATTAATACTAGCTTCATTGGCACAAAATTGATCTTTCTATTACTTTTTTCCTCGGACTTTTACCCATATTTCCTTATCTTGCGTCTATCTTCTCGCGAATCGTGCCGTACGATACACGGCCGGATGGGCGGGTCACCAACAAAGCTACAATCCGAGTTATAAGGTAATGGCGTCTCTTTATTATCTCATTGGTTTTAAAATTGCATCCCAACATTCAGATTCAAGGGCAAATTCACCATCAAGCGGGCGCTTTGTTACCACCACCAAACGAAGATCATAAATTCCTTTAGATCTACTTCATTGGTGATTCGGAAGATGAACTAAATCAGCGTTGTGCAATTTTCACTGCAACTAAACGTGAATTTATAGCAAAAGGCCCACTGGAAGCCATGCAAGACAATTTAATGCTCCCACTATTAATGAAGTCACAGTGGTGATTGTTGGCGAGAATGTGGAATCACGCTACATTTTTCTCAAGCGTCGGGATGATAGCTAATTGCATCGAGTTTATGAGACTCATCGGATGCACTTCAACACCCGTTGATGTTCTGTCGTGAAGAAGATGGGTATCACTTCAACATAAAGATGGTCAATCCAACGACAGGTTTGTTTACAAGTCATCACTTCTTTTTGATTCTACAACTAAGTTTGAATTCAAATTTTAGGAGAAGAAACGAATAAGAAGGTCAGCTCTATGAATTTTTAAGGGTATCAATTGATGATTCGACTAGATGTTGACAAT